CCCCCCCCCCCCAAACACACCCGGAACTAAAATATTTTAAAATTATTATTTTTCCCTCTACCCACCGTTCATAATGTGTCCACCAATTACCTCATTCTTATAATCTTCAGGGGTAAATATTCTCTTTGTTGTGTCTTCGGCCTTAGAAGACGAATTAGACATCGGAGTCTTCAAAGTACAAATAATCCCTAGGTTTATCGTACGGTCGCCAGATTGTACCACATTAAAAAAAGAAGCCATAATTTCTTTTAGGCAGTAACTTATACCATGAGCCATTAAGGGCGGTTTAAATCAGTGGTTCTGAACCAGGAGCTCACAGTCCTCCAAGTTTCTTTCGGCGCTCCCCTGCCCGAACCCCCTTAATCTTCCACATAGTATACAGTAAGCTTCTACATTGTTTACAGTAAGCTTCTACATTGTTTACAGTAAGATTCTACATGGTTTACAGTAAGATTCTACGTGGTATACAGTAAGCTTTCACATAGTCTACAGTAGACGTCTAAATTGTTTTCAGTAAGCTTCCACATAGTCTACAGTAAGCGTGTACAAGCCTCACGATTATGTATCAAGAATGTCACATGACTAAATGGTCAAGGACGACGTGAAATCATGGGCAGTCCGAAGGGTGCATTGACTTATAACGGTTTGAGAACCACTTGTCTTAAAATCAAGATTTAATTGCCTGGTAACGCATGCTACGACGGGATAAAGCATCAGCGGAGAGATACTCCCACCCCTCCCCTCCACCACCACATCCTCATTCAACAGCTCTGTGTATATCTGTCAACAACACAGTACATTATACACGAGCGGTGTGTTTGCAAAGAAGTCCTGCAAGCGTTACACAAGTACATAACTCAAGTCTTGTTTGTTTTGTTTGTTGTTGTTTTGGCTTGAGGCGAGGCTGTCATGATATCTACAAAAAGAAAAACGATTACTTATAATTGAAGGTAACACGTTTGATAACTAGACCTAATTATTTGGGATACGAGACTAGTTTGGTTAATTCAAAAAAAAATATGTGCAGTCTTTCTAGTAAGCAACTAAAAATAATAATAATAAATTAATTCATTTGATTAATTTAATCTCGGAATTTAGGCTTGCAGTTCTGAAATAAAATATACAATAAAATTCAAAACATTATCTTGGTTTGTTTCGTTCTTTAAAAATCGATTTTAACATGTCTTTCCTCCTGTATATGTCTGGATGTCTCTAAATTGAGTGAATGATGTTTCCCCAATTTTGTGATTAAGTCATCAGATATGGGTCTGTGCAGCGGTATCAGAAGAAAACTGTTTGTCTTCACTGTCACCATGGCAGCATCCATCTTAACATGGACTGCGCAGCATTCATCACTCACACGTTATCCAAGCTTTTTCCCTCGAGATGTCAACCTGACGGAAATAGAGAGTGCTTCCAACAACCTGACCCCGACTTCCTGCCCCGACTGTTTCCGTCCAAAAACCGAACAAATCTCTGACGAAATGATCGAACTCCCCTTCTCTGAGACTGTGTTGCCCAAACAGCCCCTGGATTTTTTCACCCCTAGGCTAAACACCGTTCAAAATTTGTCCACCAGTTACCTCATTCATCCAAACGTTTGTGCCGGTGGTCAACAGCCGTACCTCCTGGCCGTTCAGATGTCTGTGATCAGCAGGAGCGAGGACCGCGACGCCGTGAGAAGAACGTGGGGGAGTGTGGCCAGGCACCACACGTGGCCGAAACGCAGGGTCAACGCCGTCGTCCGAGTCGTTTTTGTTGTCGCGAGGCAACCGACGGCGGAGACGGGCGTCGCAGATTCTCCGACGGAGACGTTTCGCCGTCGCGTGGCCTCGATGAAACAATTGGAAGACATAAACAAGGAGGGTCGAGAGTTCGGCGACATTCTGTACCTGGACATGATCGACTCGTACCGGAACCTCACTCTCAAAGTCTTGTCCGCCTTCAAGTGGGCGGAGCTTCACTGCCGCCTAGAGACGAAGTTCATCCTCAAAGTCGATCTCGACACGTTCGTCAACGTCCCCTTGTTAGTGGACGTTCTGATGCGCTCGGAGCGGCGCCTGGAGTACTCGATTCTCGGGTATGTTTACCACAGGGGTTCTAGTCCCGTCCACAGGGCGGGACCGTGGGCGGTGGATGAGGCCGTGTATCCGATGCACGTGTATCCAGAGTATGCATCCGGTAAGGAAGAGTGCCTGACGTAATGATGTAAAAACGTGTTCATTATTAGTTGTGCTTTCTGTAGCTTTGGGATGATCATAACAGACTGTTAAAAATAGATTAAATAATAATGTGCACCCACCATTCGTTAAACATCAGACGCTTATGCTATCTAGCCCAGTCTTTCTTTTTTGCTGTAGTTACTAGATTAGATTTTTTTAAAAATAATGATAATATTTATTTTCTTTTTTTTTCTCTCTTTCATTCGGTCTTTTCCACTTTCTTTAGTTCATTCTTTCTTTCTTTCTATACAACTCCCCTGTTAAACACACGTTTGTTATTCGTATGATTAAATTATGACAATTAATTTTTTTTAATTAATGTTTCTATTCTTAGTGTTAGGCCTACCTTAAGAAGTTTAGGAAGTGGCCTGCATGACGGCCAGGTCTGAGTAGGGGTCTTTTGTTGTTTTTTTAAATCATCAGTATCGTTCTAATGATCCCCAATGTCGGCTACTGGCCATGCCTTATGTTTTTCTACATATTCAATGAAAAAATACAATTTGTTTTTAAGTCTTTTGTTTTTCTACATAATAATGAAGGATTCCATTTGGAAGAAGATGAACAAAATGTTCCTGCCTAGCTTTTCCTTTCACATCAGCGACTAATATCACCGTCATGTACTCCGCCAGGTTGTGCGTACGTCCTTTCGTACAAGGTTCTCGCCAAGATGGCCGACACGGCCCCGTATGTTCCAATGGTGGACGTTGAGGACGCTTTCATCACCGGTGTCCTGCGCTACGTCACCGGGTGCCGGCTGTTCTCCCTCCCTGAAAGGATGACACACTACTTGGACAGGAGCTGGGCGGGATGCTCATTCTACAGGGACGAGAAGATCGCCGGGACGGGAGCCAACAAGACCAAGATGGCTGCCTTGTGGGATATGTTTAACAACGATGGGAAAGGGTGTGGATAATAACGAAAAAAAAAAAGGAAAATAAAATAAAAACTAGACAATACATTTAGTTCGTATACTATGGTTAACATCAAGGTCAGTGAATGTGATCCATTGCCATTTCATAAGTGCATTCTATCGAAATACATTACAACAATTCAAGGATAGGATGTTTTCAAAGAGGTTTATTTTATTTTTAATCAGTTGTGTCCTCCCCATTACAAATACCCCCCCCCCACGCATGGGCACCCACAGAAAACTTTCTAGGGGGGGGGGCCAAAAATCGATTAACTTTCTAGGGGGGGGGCAAAAAATTTTTAGTAATGTTTTAATGTAGTTTTAATTTACTGTAACATATTTGTATGGTGAACGAACGGACAGGACATCAGCTTAGTTACTTTCTCTTTATTTTCTCTTTACTTTAATAAATTTTGTGTCTATTCTTGTCAAATTTTTTTATCCAATCAATCCGGGGGGGGGGGGCAAGTTCCCCCCTTTCCCCCC